CTCACCTGTGCCGGGCAGGCACCCCAGATGCCTTCTCAGAATGACATCTGCGCACGCACACCGTAAAATACAGGACTCTGAAGGAAATAGTTACAGTGAAAGCGTCCTAAAATATTTTTAGAAATTAATTTGTGACTCAGTGCGTCTTTGTTAATACATTAAATATGTGCTTTTTGATGAACACATTAAACGGCAAGACCCAAGCGGCAGCGAGTGTGAAGGCCGCGGCTGTTACGTAACATGCAGAGCTCGGCCTCCCCCTGCGGACCGTCACCTCGGTGCTGACCCGGGCGAAGCACTGCATTCAGTCAGAGGCTGGCGAAACAACGCGTTGCCTTTTCCCACCCACTGACACGGAAGCCCTGAGATCTGCCCCGGACCCCAAGGAGCTTCTAGGCAGCCTCTGCTGCACCCCGGAGGCCGGGAAGGGAAGCCATGAGTCCACACCACCAGACTTCCTTTCGCAGTAAGTGCAACTTTCCTTCCACTCACACACCCCAGGCCATACACGAAACAGTTTCTAGAGAAACCGCCTGTTGGAAAAACTCAGTTATTTAAGTTAGCTCAAGGCTGAAATATCTGCCCTAGAAACTTTTACATTATAATGTGCCTGGCCAGTCAAGACAAAAACAAAACAAAGCAAAACAGAATTCTCCCTGAACGTCCTTGTCAACAGTCCAAACATTAAACTTTATGGAGATACACAGACCCTGTTTCCTTCCCTCAACACAAAGCAAAAACTTAAAAAAAATTTTTTTTGTGGTACCAGGGACCGAACTCAGGTCCTTGTGCTCGCAAGGCAGGCGGCAGAACCACTGAGCCAAATCCCTGGCCCTGCAAAAAATAGATTCATCAATCAATAAAAGGAATTTTATATCTCTCCCTAAGAACCTACTGCCAAAGACTCTACAACTGGTAGAAAAGAAGCACAAAGGCTTTTTGACCACAGACACCCCCACCCCCACCCCCCACCCCCGTTCTCCCTGCCAGCGCCTGGACAGACATTGGGCGTCACCTCAGTACCATCTCAGCCCCTGCCCCCTGAGCTGGCTGCTGGGGGAGGCAGCGGGAGCACAGCCCCGGAAGACGGCCTATCTGCCCCTGGTCAGCAGCCATCTACCAGCAGGGTCCCCGGGGGATGTGCAGCCGCCATGTGCCCCGCAGTGCACACCAGGGCTCCCCGCTTCCCCAGCTGCCCCGAGCCTGCAGCCCCCTGCTGCTGTCCCCTGACTGCTCTCCCCACTTGCCTTCCCGGCCTGGACACCCTCCTGGCCTCCTGCTCTAGTGGAATTTCTCTGCGGCCTCTGCCCCCTCCCCACCTCCTCGCCCCACTGACTTCTCCAGCTGACTGGCTGCCAGTGGCTGTCACCATGCTGTATTCTAAGGGATCTGCTCACTGTCCCTAGCAGGATGACACGCTTGGGCTTGGGTGTGGATGGACCACGTCCAGATCTCAGCTCTGCTGTGTCCGGAAAATGTTCCTTTGGGCCTCAGTTTCTCAAGTGCACAACAGGACAACAGTGGTCAAGACCTCACCAGCCTGTCGGGAGGCATCAGTGCTGCCACTCTGTGAGGCTACTGTGACCTGACTGCCTCAGGCTGGGACCAGGTCTTCCCACCTCAGCATCCCCAGGCAGGGTGACCCTGCTGTGCACAGGCACAACCCAAGGAGCTAAAACTCAGAGCAGCCTGTGCTTGTCTTTAGCCACTGGGCAAAACCCTAAGCTTCCAGGATGTAATCCCAGCCCTTGGGAGGCAGAAGCAGGGGGATCACTGTGAGCTTAAGGCCGGCCTGAACAATCAAAACAAGAAAACAAAAAAGCCTTACGCCAAGGCCTCTCTCTGGAGGGCCTGCCCTGAATTCTGAGTATATGCTTCTAAATTCTGCCTAACAAACCTCTTTATGTCTCTCCAAAAAACACTAACTTATACTGAAAGAGCACATTTTAATCATTCATTAACCCACAGTATGACCAGCAGAAATGACAGGCGGTCAAGATGATCAAGCAGCCTGATGAGGAGATCTTCACTAAGGCCTAGGGAATGCAATTTGGAATGAAAACAAAACAAAACAAACACATGGCCAAGATCCTGAAGAAGGTGAAATGTAACAGCATATTTCTCTGTGCTTCCAGGATCCATCTGGGACAGCAGGCAGGCTCCCTGGTGTGCCCACAAAAGGTGCCAGGACCCTGCCTGGCCTCACACCCCATCTGACACAGGACCGCTGGCCACACAGGCACCCGCCATCTGCAGCAAACCCGCTCCCTCTGCCCAAGCCTGGGGTGGGGTGTGAGCAGTGTTCGCGCCTCCTCTTCTTTCACGGTCTTCCTGGTCTCCTGGGTCCTGCTGGACCACGCTCACCGCCGGGTGGCAGGCAGTCTCCTTAGCCACTGGTATTTTTATTGCTAATTTGGGCCACTGCATTCAACACCTCCAAGTAGGGATTTGGGCTTTCTATTATATCCTGCTTGGAAATAAAACATTAAGGCACACGATATACGAGGCTGGGTAAGGCAGGCGAGGACTAGGTCTCTCTAGAGTAGTCGAGAGTGAGGAGACTGAAGTTCCACAACTCAGTGCGCGGGAGCAGCTGAGCACCCCTCTCCCGTGAGGCGGTTTACCCCTGCTGCGTCTGAGAGAGAAGGCCTTGTGCGTCTCCTCCTCCAGGACTCTCACTGCTGGTCACTGCAGGCCCACGGGTCTGCCCACCTGTCTCTCCTACTGATCCCCTGCCCCATTTCTCCGCCGTCCTCCCTTGGTCTCTGTCTCCCCTCTTGGGTCTTCCTTCCTTCCATCCCTCGTCTCAGTCCTGTTAGCTCTGTCTCCTGGTCTGTCTCCATCCTCCTCCATTCCTCTCTCTACTCCCCGTCTGTGTGTCTGTCTCCTCCACCGCTACCCACCACACAGTGTGATAAAGTATCTATGGGGCGGGTCAGGAAAGATGACTCTGAAAGCGATGTTGGAGACAGCATCAATGCCCCTCTGTGAGGGCAGCACCACGCTCTCAAAAGTAACCAGCAAGCTACTCTTCTGACAGCTTTGGAACTGCAATTCATTATGCAGAAAAAAGACTGACCAGAAGTCAAAAATCCTTAAAGCTGGGTAATAAGGGCAAGGGAGGTCATTACTGCCTGCTTTTGATACAGGTCTAAAACTCTCCATTAAAAAAAGACCCTAAGAATTTATTTGATCAATTGTCCTGCGTTGTTATGATCCACCACTATGAAGAAGAGTTATTCTTCCAATGTTCGATCTTTACCGATTCATTTTTCTCCTGTTTCTATTTCAGGTCAGTAATTTTAAAGGCAAAGTTATGATTACTTGATTTTACAACAAGGTACCAAGCAGCATGAGCTTTCAGATTTTACACGCTTAGGGGCTGTGGAAATAATGCCTCTGGAGAGGAGAAATAAAATAACCAACCACAAACCAATGGGAATGGTTCTTGCACAACCAGAATATTCATCATGGGAATAAGAGAGGGTAAGAGGAAAAGAAGATACTTTTCAGCTTTACTCTGAGGACAGGAAGTACTAATTACCGCATATGCATTTAAAGCCCTTAGAAATAAATGAATTCATTACCAAGAAGACTGCTAGGCAGTTCCCTCAATTCTGTCATCCCTTCAGCCAGCAGAGAAACTAGGAAAGCCACCACCTTAGGCTGCTAAATATTTGCATAAAGTAACAATTCCACACCAGGCTCTGTGCTAAACAATTTACACGAAGTCTCTGAACAACTCAACAGGCAGAAGATTCTCGAGCCTGATTCTGTGAGGGGAAAGACGCCCACCATCGCCCAAGACAGGGCCAGTATCTGGGCGCGGGCACTGGCTCCAGCGGTGCCTGCTGCACACAGGCGCTCCCGGGGGCCCTGAAGTCTCGGGGGTCTGGGTGCCCACACTTGCAGAAACGTGCACGTCTGCTCTCCTCGTGGCCCAGTGTCCACGAACCACCTCCAGGGCCCTGAAAACGACTCCCAGGGTGGGCAGAGCAGAGTCAGGACATGGGCATCGCCCAGCTCCCGACCGAAAAACACTGCACCCGAAGTGCTGGGCCAGGCCCCTCCTCTCCGTCCTGGGTGTGGGAGGTGAGTGAGGATCCCAGCAGTGCTGAGCACCAAAGCTGTCAGTTACACAAGGGGACAACCTTACAGGCGCAAAGCGTTGGGCACCGGTGGCCTTGTGTCAGTCAACAGAGAGGCCTCAGAAGCCCTCGGTTCCTCGGGCGGGAGTGCTTCGAGAGCAGCATGCCGCCCAGCGCCCAGCCCGGTGCAGTCCACGCTCCGTGGCTGAGACCAGCGTGTCAGAGTGACCTCGGCCACGACTCCAGGAAGTTCAAGAACAGCTCACTTCACAGGCACTCATCCTGGACCCCACAGTGCAGCACTCTGGTGTCCAAGCCCAATACCCACGCATGACGCGCGTAAGCACCAACACGCATGCACGCAAACCAAGCAAAACGGCGATGAGCGAATTCAGAGGGCTGGTGGTATTCGTGCTGTCTCCTTGTCTCCAGGAGAAGGGGTCATCAGAAAGCTCACTTTCAAAGGCGACCAAAAGCTGTAAGGCGAATGAGGTCACAGTGATGAACAGTGCTGGAAGACGATCTTCTGAGCAGGGAGCAAAATTCAGGTGCTAAAAATGCTCATATAGGCACAGACTCTTTCTAGAGAGCAGTTTTCCAGAAGGAACACTTTAGTGATTGCCCCTCAGGGGAGAAATGAGACAGGAAGCTTTTAGAATCTTCATTAAATAGCCATCTATGAATTTATGTATACTATTTATATACATTAAAAAATGTAAATGCTGGGCATGGTGATGCACACCTGTAATCCCAGGACACAGGAGCCCAAGGCAGGAGGATCACCCCGTGGGTTCAAGGACACCCTGAACTGCCTACCAAGACCCTTTCTTACAAAAACAAACCAAACAAACAAAAAATTAACTCTACTGCTAAAGGTAATCATCTACTATTTTAAAGTTTGTGTTACTGAGGATTACTGGGCAGTCATACTGAGCTATATCCTCAGCTCCTCATGGATATACGTACATATTATACACACTGCGTAGTTGTGTGTACATGTGTATATATGTATGTGTCTCTTTTTGGAGACACTGTCTTGCCAAGTTGCTTGGGCTAGGCTTGAATTTGAGATCCTCCTGCCTCAGCTTTCCAGAACCTGGGATGATAGGCACGTGGCATGGTGCCTGGCTAAGGGTAATTGTTTTATTGGTATTAGGTTTCCAGAAGAGAACAAGAAACTGTACTTATTTTAGGCATTAGAGAATTTGTTCCTTCCTTCCTTCTTTCCTTTTTTTTTTCTTCTCTCTTCGCAGTTCAAGTTTGCACTGAGCTCACAACAGTCCTCTTTCCTCAGCCTCTTGAGTACTGGGATTACAGGTGTGAGTTCCTAGTTCATGCCTGAAACCCATAATGAGTTTTATAGGATACAAATGGTCACAGTCAGCAGGACGCAGCCTGACTTAAGAATGGGCTCCCTAGAACTAGAGACAGAAGTTCAAATCCCTGCCACTCCCTAGCTCTGTGACTTCCAGTAAGATATTTACCCTTTGGGGGCCTCAATTTATTCATCTATAAAATGGAACCAGCCAGGCCATCTGGAGAAATAGTCATATTGTATCCTGCAGAGGTCAGAAGGCGTCACAGTAAGTACTCTAGGCCTGAGGAGCAGGTAGCGAGCACTTTCAAATTACATTTATAGCTAAATCTTTGGCAGAACAGCGGCAAACCTGGTCTTACTCAATGCTCTCCCGGACCTGGGATGCCTGGGACCCATAAACACTGGCTGATTGATTTAGGGTGTCAATAAAGGGGGAGCCTGGGTTACTCAGCCAGATGTTGGCCGCTGTTCTTCCCAGGGGACACCAGGCATTTCCAGTCTTAAGAAATCTTCACTGGGGTTGGTCACCTCTCTCCACTACAAAACAATAATTCCCCTCAGGGTCCCTAATTAAATGTAACAACAAAATAAACAGGAACTGGCCAAGAGGGAGAATTCCTAGAATGATGCCTTCCTGAATGAGCCCTTACTCCAAAGCATTCACTGTGCCACAACTTCTCTGAGACTTGACCCTGAACATGACAACACATTGCAAGGCATGGGGGAGGAAGGCTTTCAGGACTAGATTTTTTTCTAAAACAATACCAGCCAGGTATGTGCTAAATCTCAGCCCACCCCGAGGCAAAGCTGTGACTTTAACTTTCCCTGGCTCTGCAGTTACAAAAGTCCATTCATCTCTGCCCTGGGCACCCATCTGCGAAATGGAGATGACAATGCCTAACACTAACTCCTTACAGATGTAAATGAGAATGTGTTTGGAACTGTGAGCGACTTGGGAAAAATAAGCGGTGTATGGACTGAAGACGATGCTGGCTGCTCAGACGTCGACTTTTAGGGACAAATAAACCATCTCCACCCTCCAAAGGCTGGACTCCGGGCTCCCCCCAGCTGATGAGGTTTCTCTAAGTCTCCGTGGGGCCTAAAACCCCCGCCGGGGGAGGGAACCACGTACGCGGTGGGGGGCGGGGAGGCAGATTTCACTTCTTGCTGGCACTGATGGTTCAGGCTGCCTATGGGACGCCAGGCAGGCCCTCGAGTCAGAGGTGGAAAGAAAAGAAAAACAGGTTAGAATATCAATGAGGCCTCTACTCCTTTACTTCCGAGAGAAAAAACATGAGAGCTTCGTGGCCTGTACCTTTCTCCTATTTGAAGTCCTAAATCAAAGAACAGAAACGCAAGTGCCTCCCTCCCTGGACGTCCAATTAATTAGCCCTCTCTGGGCCCTGGTGCCGCGGCACATCCGTTCCACACCCATCCACAGCTGCACAAATGAGGGCCGCACACCCCCCTCCACTCACTCCGTTTCTGTTGTCATCTCATTGTGAGGCCAAAACCAAAGTCAAATAACGGTGTAAACCGAAATACGAAGCAGAACGAGAAAGGAGCAGGCAGAAAACAGGCAGAGTGAAGGGCCGGCTGCAAGCTCCGTGGAACGGACTTCACAGCAGCCCTCCCCGAAGCGACTTCCCTCTCTGCCCTAGAAAAGACAGGGTTCCTAAGACCCACTGGGCTCCTGGTCTGCAGAAACCTCGGGGTGGAACGGGGGAGGGCAGGAGGACGCTCGAAACTGTATCCATAAATGGTAGAGCCCGCTCCCCAAGTGCACGATACTTAATGGAAATCGTATGTTTTCACAGACACGGCCGACCTTTTTGACACACGATTCCCAACTAACAGCAGAAATTCCACAACGTGGGCCCGCAAGGCTGCTAGGGCTGGCGGAGCTGCTTTCTCAAACTTTCTCGGGGACAGTCGCAGCGCGGGGGCCCAGTGACTCACGGCCAAGGAGCGAGGTGGGCTCGAGAGCCAGGGCCAAGAGAGTAAGGGGAGAGAGGGAGAGGGAGAGGGAGAGGG